CCGCGGCAGGACCGTCCCTGCCTCCTGCCATCCTCTGCTGACACACGGGAGCTCCCTGCCCGCGGGCCAGCACCGCCTCCTGCCCTGCTGTCACACAGCCTGCGGGGAGGAATTCAAATCGAAATGCAACGAGTGGCTTTTCCTTCTGCCCCCCTGGGCCGAGTGAGGCTCGGGCTGGGCAGCAGTGCCCGTCCCCCGGCCGGGCCCACGGGAGCATCCCTGGCTCGGCGGGGAGAGGCCGTGACACCAAAATCACTTGTTCTCCGAGTGACAGGCTGATTGCTGAGAAGGGCAGGTCCTCCCCACATCCCCGAGCTGCCAGGGCTGCCAGCGCTGTCTCAGGGCGGTGCCCTGGCCACTGCAGCAGGGTCACTCCCCCGAGCAGGGCCACTCTCCAAAACCACTTTCTGCCTCATCAGGAAAGCGGGAAAAGCGATCAATGGCTCCTGCCCTGGCTTTAGCAGGTGGATTAAGGCCAGTGAATAGGAGCTGTCTCTCTAATGAAGCGCTGTTACCGACAGGCTAATTGAGCAGTGACAGCACGCAGCCCCCGGAGCTCTGTCCCGGCCGTGACTCCGTGCCCCGCTCTGCCTGCAGCACACCCGGCACCGGCTCCGGCTGCAGCTCCGAACTCCCGGAGCAGCCACAGACACAGCGTCGCCAGCATAACCCTGCGTGGAAAATGCGGAGGTGGAGGGAAACCCGGACTAATTAGCTCGGGAGCCGCCAATCTCCTCCATGTGAAACGTGAGCCTTTTTACTGGGAAAAGTAAAACAGGCCCCACATTGCTTCCAGGGAGCCCAGTAAAACAGAAGGTGATCCACACACACGTATATTATGCTAGATTTAAGATTCTTTCTGGTGGTTTTCTAGGCAGATCTCCAACAAGCTGCAGCACAGCATTGCTGCTGTAGAGCGGGCACGGGCTGGTGGTTCCCTCTGCCACCTCTGACGGTCACTGCTGCTGGCCCTTGTGCCCGTGGCCGCCCTCAGGTGATGAAGGAGGCACACCAGCCCCGTGGCAGGTGCCCTGTGCTGTGCTGGGTGGGCATCACCCTGTGCTGGGCGGGCATCACCCCTGTGCCTCTGTCCCGCTGCTCAGGGGGGCCGGGGGCTCTGGCCGGGGGAGGGGGTGCCTGGAAAGGTGAGCACAGACAGTGCAAGACCACGGAGGGGCTGCCACCAGCCCACCCGCATGCCAGGAGCAGCAGCTTAGTTTGGGTCCTGCAGCCTCAGGGCCTGCCCGGGCCTGTCCCCCTGCCTTCGCTGTGCTTTATCTGCACCTCCCCAGCCCCAGCGCTCAGCTCATCAGCCGATTAAAGATTAATTTGAGATTATTGCTCGTGTCAACAGCCCACAGGCAGGAAAACAATAGCTACACCTGCGGCTTGTTTGTGAGCTGTTAATGGACAGGCTTTCCCCGGAGCGCTGCTGGCAGGCTGAGCCTGCCCGGCACCTGCTGCCCCTGTCCGGGCAGGGAGAGCCTCACCCAGCCCCGAGGCCTCCTGCATCCCCCCTGTCCCCAGGGGGAAGCCCGCCTTGTCCCTGCTGGTCACCCCACGAGCCGTCCCAGCTTCTCCACCGCTCCCTGCCCCAAATCAGGAGCGGCCTCGCAGCCCTTGGCTTCCAGGACGGGCCTGTCCCTCGCTCTGCCCGGCTCCTCTTCGCTTGTCCGGCTTTCTCTGGCTGAGGTAAGAGCCAAGAGAAGAATTGGCTGCTAGACTGTGGAAGGGCTGAGCTTTGGCTGCCCTCTCTGGGGGCTGCACCCTTGCTCAGGTGCTGGGAGTGCTCCTGCAGGGGCTGTGGGGGATCACAGCATCATGAGAACATTTCTGTCAGATAGCTTTGCAGTGACACGAGAAGAAAGTGGAATTTTTTTTTTTTTTTTTTTTTTTTGCCTTCTACTGCTCTGGAGGTGGGAGGAGGCATTCTGGGGGTCCCAGAGCCCCTCTTCACCCTCCCAGCACAAGGACCAGGTGTGCTTTGTGCCTGTCCTTGGGAGAGATGGGGACAGAAAGGGGTGAAAAAGGAAATTTTGGGAACTGCAGCCCCGAAATGACTGGGGAGATGAAGCTTAGCCTTTGCAGAGATGGGTGTAATCCTCCTTCTTTCCTTCTCATCGCCTCTGGACTGCTCCAGATGCCTGCAGACAGGATGGGATATTTCAAATGGGAGCCTTGAAGCCCTTTTCAGCCCGGTGTCTCCAAACGGGCCTGCCACGGCACGGTGGGCTTCCCACCACCCTCAGTTCTACACCGGCTCAGGGAGGAGGAAGCACGAGTCCCCTCGGGGAAGAAAAGGCGCTTTGCGGTTTCCCTGGAGCCTTTGAAAGGGCTCCAGGAGCTGAGGGGCCGTGCGTGCTGGTTTGGAGTCCCGCCGTGGAGATGGAGCGGCGCAGTTCAAACGCTCGGCACGGCCCCGGCACGGCCCCGGCACGTCCCCCAGTCCTGCCGAGAGCCTGATTGCAGCCCTGAGCCCCAGCCTGCCGCAGATGGTCCCGCAAGGTGGTCACCAAATGGTTCCTCGCTGGTCGCCGCTGCCCTGCCCCCGCTCGGCCCCAGAGCCGTGCCCGGCCCGGCCCGCCGGGGGGCTTCGGCTCCTGGGGCGTTAAACGGGGAGGGGGAATTGCCCAGCCCTCGGCGCGGCCCCCCGGCTTCGCTGAGCAGCGCCGGGGACCGAGGGCAGGGCACCGCTGCCGGGGTGCTGCTCGCGGCTTTCCTGCAGAAAATGAGGTGAAAAAGGAATTGCCGCTCGTCCTCAGGCCCGGCTCCCGGGGGCATCTCTGCATCCCAGAGCGCTGCAGGGGCCGAGAAAGGATCACCCGCGTGTGGAGATGCCCGGGGGGGCCTGGCCATGCTCCTCCACCCTCTGCTCACCCCAACAGCCCTCAGGAGGAGAAAAAGAAATATTTTTGCAGTAGTGAATCGAGCAGCTGGCCCGGAAAGGAGCGATCTGGAGCACGCTGATCACCGTGCGACCGGCCAGCAGCTGGTCCGGAGCTGGGCGGCACCGGGGGCGGCCCGAGCACCGGGACAGCACCTGAGAGCCGCGTCCCCGGGGCACACGGGCTGGGCAGGGCGAGAGGCAGATGCCGCAGCAGCCCAAGTGCCAGTGGGCTGTGCTTTTGTGATTCAGAGCAGGCAGCATTGCTTTTTTTCCCCCAGTGTTTTAAGGCTGCATTTGTGTTTGAATGCCAGCGGGATTTGCCAGTGGAGCCCAGGCTGCTCTCCACCCGGTTTAGAGCTTCCCTCTGAAAGCCTGGCGTCCCAGCCCGGCGCTGGACAAAGCCAGGAGCACAAGCGGGAGCAGCAAAGCCCGCTGAGGAGGAGGTTTCTCACAGCTCTCACCGCCGGCCGGACCGATGTTAGTGGAAGCGCATTGAGAGGGAGCTGGCAGGGGTCCCCGGTGGGTCCGGTGCGGGATGGAGCAAGAGCCTGAGCGACACGGGAAGGGGTCGGGGGGTCCCTGCGTGGTGACAGGCCTGGCACACGGGGTGGGGACAAGGCACGGCCGTGCGGGACCCTGCTGCAAAGGCAGCCCGGGGCTGGGGGCTGCTGCTCCCACTGCTCGACCCTCCTTTCCATTCCAGCTCCTGCAGGTGGTCCCTTCCCAAAATTCGTCTCTCTCTTTTTTTTTTATTTTTTTTTTTAACTGTTTAGCTGCTTTTGCGGCTCCAGGATTTTATGGATGGAAAGCTGAAAGTAATTAGTGCCCCTCCCCCGCTTCCTGTTGGGAAAAGGAAGAAAAGCACACACAAGAGCAAACCCAAAACTTCCTGCCCTGCTTAATAATCGAGTAATGAGTCCAACTCGGCTGGGAAAGTCAGTTTATACCGGGTGAGCTCTTAATTAAAGAAGGGCCGAGCAGCAGCTCTGCTGACTTTTACAGCCACACACATCTTCCTGCCCCAAGCTGGCCCTGGAGAGGCTCGGTGCAGGGAGCCGGACCCCGCGGGATGCAGGATGGATGAGAGCCCGAGGAGGGTGTCCTTTATTCCCTGGCTGAGTGTCGGGAGCTGGCAGGGAAACGCGGGCAGGACAAACCCAGCCCCGGGAGGCAGGCAGGGAGCCTGGCTGTGGTCTCTGAGGCACCGGCTGGGAAGGTGCAGGCAGGTGCTTTGGGGCACCGGGAGCTTCACTGTGGGAAAGCTGTGGGGGAAGTCTGCACACTGGAGTACCCCTGGGGGCCCTCGGTGCCCCCCAGGCTGGGACAGCCCCTCCTGTGCCGGAGCTCTGCGGTGACAATGGGATGTGTCAGCTCTGCTGCCGCACCACCGGCACCGGGTCACACCTGCAGCTGGAGCTGGAGAGGCTCGGGGTCCTGCCGAGAGCCAGAGGCAGCTCTGCCACCCCCGGGGGACAGGGATCTGAGCTGCTGTGCCATCCCGGGGGGACAGGGACCTGAGCTGCTGTGCCACCGCCGGGGGACAGTGCCTAAGGGACAGTGCCCTGAGCTGCTGTGCCATCCTCGGGGGACAGTGCCCTGAGCTGCTGTGCCACCGCCGGGGGACAGTGCCTAAGGGACAGTGCCCTGGGCTGCTGTGCCACCCCTGGGGGAGTACCCTGAGATGCTGTGCCACCCCCGGGGGACAGTACCCTGAGCTGCTGTGCCACCCCCGGGGGACAGTGCCCTGGGCTGCTCTGCCACCCCCGGGGGACAGTGCCCTGGGCTGGGCACGGACCTGCTCCCCAGGGCGTGCTCAGGGCCACCTGCAGCCCCAGCTCCGTGGGGACACCAGCACGCACCCGAGCAGGCTGGGAGGGACACGGCAAGCTCTTGTGCTTTCTCTGAGGTGTCTGCAGCCCCAGCCCACCCCACGGCACAGCTGCCCCGGCCCTGGCAGGAGCTGACCGGCCTGGCTGCTCCACACGTTCCCTCCGGCAAATGCCACGTTCTGGTCACCTGCAGCCAGAGCCGAGAGCAGCGGGGGCGAGGAGAGCCCAGCCCAGCATTCCCCCCTTACAGCTGCGTATTCAGCCCAAGCAGCCACAAAACCCTATTATAAATTAACGATTTTATTGAATATCAATAAATTGTATATCATTATATAAAAAGTTTCATCAGTACAAAATTGTGGCACAAAAATATAAATACCAGTGTACCTTTGAAATGTAAACATCCTCTTTGTAATGATTCCGTGAAAACAATGTCCAAAGAAAGATGCATTCAGGAGGCACCTGTCAATACCCATAAATAGGGCTTTTGGCACACACCTGTCGATGGACGGCCTTGGGACAGGCCACCATTGTATCAGCTGACAAGTGCCTGCTATTAGTCACAGTTCTCTTGAAAAGCAGTTGTTAAGAGTCATATTAACAGGTGCTTGAGTGCATAGCTGCTCTGTAAACAGGGCTGGGGTTTGAAATGGCTACCCCTGCCTTTCATGGACACTGTTAATCTCGCAGGCATTGCAAATTGTCATTGTGCTGGGGAGAAGCAGCTGCTTCACAACTACTGGGATACTGTATTATTGCATAGTTACACCTTCTACAGGCGGGTTATATACACTCGGGGGTACGGGGGGAGTGTCTTGTCCTTCATTTAAAAAAAAAATACTGGTTCTTAAAAGTTACCAAGTGGTTATGGTGTTACAAAAAAAAAAAAAAAAAAAAAAAAAAAAATCCAACCCCAGCCCCCCAGGCTACACGGCGGCTGTTCAATAGCGGCGAGGTGCAGGTCCAGCCCCGCGAGGTGCCGAGTGCCTCTGGCCGGGGGGCTCCTGCCGAGGGAGGGGCTGGGGCAGCACCGCGAGCCCCCAGGCTCACACACTCGCACCCCGGCTGCCGGGATGGCAGAGTGGTCACAGCACCAAGCCCGAGCTCCAGAAGGTTTGGACAAGGCTCTCAGGCACGCACGGGGGGTTCTTGGGATGTCCTGCACAGGGCTGGGATTAGACTCGAGGATCCTGACGGGTCCCTTCCAACCTTCGTGGATCGGGCTCTTGCATTGCACTGGAGGCACCAGGTGAGGAGTGTGAGGGTCCCGAGGGCCAGAGGAGCAGCGTCCCGCCCGGTGCACACTGCAATGGCCATGGAGGAAACTACTCCTACAGAAACTAGTAATAATAGGGGTATTGGTGGTGAGAGAGGCCCGGGGAGCGCAGTCCTCAGCGAGAGCCAGAGCAGCCTGTCTCCTCGTGCTTGTGGAGCAGCGACATGCGGGAGAAAGTCCGGGAGCAGGTTTTGCACTGGTACTTCTTTACATCTGAATGGGTCTGCAGGTGGGCGCGGAGATTAGAGCGGTCAGCAAAGGCCCGGTTGCAGTGTGTACAGGAAAAGGGCTTTTCACCTATGGGACAAAGAGAAACGCTCCCAATTAACCAGTGCATCAACACATGGGGAATATCAAAGAAGGAGCCATTCATTAGCCAAAGTTTGTGCGGAGCACAGTGAAAAGAAGTGCTGGCTGTTATTGTTCGGGGAAAGCCGGCTATGTACCGCATTGCTTGGGGGAGAACGGCCAGCCTGGGAATTGTACGCTCTTGAAAAACCTTCCCTACGAACCGCGGAAAATTAATGCTGGAAACATCTGCAAGCAGCACGGCAGTTGCACAGACAAACGAAGACATGAGACTCGTCTGCTGCGCGGAGCCAAGGAGGAGCCGCAGGCCGGCAGGAAAGCCGAGCGCTGTGTGTTAATTATATCATAGCAGGCAGCGGCTGCGAGGCGCCAGCCCAGGGTGAGTGCAGCTATTTCCTCTGCCGAGCCCTGCGCTCCCCCTTCTCCTGCCCGGCTCGCATTCAAAGCCTGGCCAGGGCGAATTCCTCCCAGAAAGACTCTTTTGGAGGAAACAAATGCGTATGCTCAATTTGGAAAGCACAATTAAGTCTACCCGGCTTCCTTCAGCCATCATCTTTAGCACGTTAAGAGGGTGTGAAATCAGTGCCAAGTCACAATTACACCGTCCCACGGCCCCACAAAGGATGCTCGGGAGATGCTTTGTCGGGGCGGCCGCGGGGTGGGCTGCAGCTGCGCGCCCGGCCCCGCGCCAACAGGTGCCTGCAGCACCTGCCCGGGCCGTGCCGAGCCGGGCCGGGCCTGCAGCGGGCTCAGCACCGCTCTGCCCCGGCTGGGAGGGATGCTTTGGGCACGGCAGTGCGCGGAGGGGGGCTCCGGCAGTCTCACAGCCCCTCTTTATGTCACTGGCCCCGCGCTCGCAGCAGCAGCGCAGATTTACAGGCTGGGCCTTGACCCTGCGCTCCGTTCCAGCCAAGAGGATATTTAAAGGACATTTTAGAGAGATGTGCCAAGGGGGTCTGGGAAGCCCTTATCTCCCCAGATAACACCCGGCCCGCCGATTCGCTAGGGCAGCGGAGCAGGGAAGCGGGAGGCGATAAGGGAGGGAGGGAGAGGGACAAGAGGGGACGTTACCAGTGTGCGTCCGGATGTGGCCCTGCAGCAGCCAGGGCCGGGAGAACGCCTTCCCGCACATCTTGCAGACGCAGGGCAGCGTGTGGCTCCGGATGTGCATCTTGAGAGCCCCCAGGCTCACGTACTCCTTCTCACAGTACTTGCAGCTGAAGGATTTCCTGGCCTGGGCGTCGCAGTGCAATTGCTTGTGCTTGGAGAGCCCGGCGAAGGTGGAGTACGCCTTGGCGCACTGGGCACAGCGGAAGCGCTCGGCGGCGGCGGGGGCCGAGGCCGGGCTGGGGGGCCCCGAGCTCTTGCCTTCATCCTCCTCGCTGGAGAGCGCCGTCAGGTCCAGGGCGGGGGCCGCTCCGCCCGCAGCCTCGCTGCCCGGGCCGCCCGGGAACAGGCTGGACAGCAGCCCCGCGTCCCACACCAGCGGAGGGTAGTAGGCTCCGGGGCCGAGCACCTCGGGCGGGGGGATGACGGGCAGCGGGCACGTCTCGTACAGCAGCGGGGCGGCCAGAACTGCGGGAGGCAGCGGCAGTCAGCGCGGCGCGCCCGGAACGGGGGCGGCGGGGCCCGGCCCACCCCCGCGGGCTCAGAGGGACCCCACCCCAGGCCATCCCTCGCCCCGCACCCCCGAGTCGAAGGAGCAAAGGGGACTCCAGCCCCCCCCACGGGAGCCCAGAGCCGCAGCCCGCCCCGGGGCAAAGGTGGCCGGCCTCGCACGACAGGGACCCCGCGCCCCCGCCCGCCTCGCCACGAGGGATGGGGTGAAGAGACCCCCACGCTCCCGCCCGCTACCGGCACGGAGAGCTCCCCACGCACCCAAGTGCACCCCATGAGGGAGCCACCGACATCCCCGGGGCACCAGGGAGCGGCTCAGCATCCCGGGACACGGGATCGCGCGCCACGAGACGCACGAAATTGAAATCAAACAAATCCGCAACCCTGGAAAAGCCGGTCGGTCCCTGCCCGCTCCTGTGTGGAGCCTTAGGGAGATCCCGCACCGGACCCCCGCCCCACGTGCACGGCCCGTCCCGTCCCGTTCACGCACCGGCCTGGCTCTCCAGCTCGCTGTAGTTGGGCTTCTTGCTGGCCGAGAAGTGCTTCTTCACCAGGAACGAGCGCGGCATCTTGCAGCCCCGGTGCCGCCGCCGCCGCGGGGCCGCGGAGCCGCCGCGCCCGCTGATATGCGCGCGGGGCCGGGGGCGGGCGCGGGGCCGCCCCCGGGGCCGCAGCCAATGGCCGGGGGACGGGGCGGGCACGGGCAGGTGTCGGCCCCGCCGCCGGGGCCGTGCCGAGCCGAGCCGGGCTGTGCTGAGGGGACCGAGCCGGGGGCCGCTCCCACGGTGCGGCCGCGCTGCCCGCCCGGTACCGGAGGACGAAGCGCCGCTGGTGATGCTGCTGCACCAGCCGCTCCCGGCTTGTCTCCCGGCGTTTCCCCGGGCCGTGCTCCCGCGGGTCCGGTGCTCCGGAGGGGGCGGAAGGTGGAGTGACCCGCAGCCCGTGCCCCACGCGGGCAGAGCGGCCGTGCGGGCTGGAGGAAGGCGCTGGCGGCGATCCCGCGGCCCTGCCGCCTGTCCGTCCTTCCCCTTCCCCACGGCTGGGGGCTGCGGTGCAGGGTGGGACAAACCTCTGCCGTGCCCCGCTGGGACACCGCCCTGCGGTGAAGCACGCTTCCCAGGTTAGTAATCCTCTGGGAAGAGGCAGAGACTTTTGGAGCAGCGGGATGGACCCGGCACAGCCCTCGGTGACTCCCTCCCGCTGCCAGGGGTCAGGAGCACCTGCCCAGACACATTTTCTTTCCTGCTGGGAAGGTTTTGGGCAGCGCAGCCGTCCCCACAGCAACCTCTCTGTTCTCTTCCCTGCTGCCTTCCCCTGACTCTTTTCCTTGGGCAGGGCGGGCCACAAAACCCCGCTGAGGCACACGCTCCCTGTGGCTCCCCTCTCCCCAGGGGCCGTGTGCCCACGGCAAGGTGCCCAGGCATGGCTGGCGGGCGCTGGGCAGCGGTGAGCAGAGATGTAGCAGTCAGAGGTGTACCAGTCAGAGATGTAGCAGTCACACCACGCTGCCTGCGCTCCCAGCCCGTGCCGGCCCCGGGCTCCCGCGGGGGTTTCCCCCTGGAAGGGCTCAGGCACGGCTCCAGCCACCTGCTGCAGAGCCGCGCTCAGCTCCGGGCCAAGGCAGCTGCTGGCGGCTGCCGCAGGAGGAGCAGGTCCTGCTGGGAATGCCTCCCCCGGCCCCGCCACCCGGCCAAGGGCCGCGTGCTGGGCCACCCGTGACTCACCGTCACACTGCGCGCACCGCTGCGCCAGCCCCTGCCGACCGCATCTTGCTGTTTAGCCACAACGACATGAAATGCAGAAGTGGGAGCAAAGCTTTCCACTGGCACGGCTGCGGCGCAGGGCCTGAGCTCACCGTCAGCCTTTCCTCAGGGCAGGAACAGCTCGGAGAGCCTGTCCTGCCGGCCACGCGCATCCTGCCCGGACCAGACGCATTTGCAAACTCTTCCCCTGCAGCCATGTGCTCTGGTACTGCATCATCCCTCGGCTTTCAGCAGGTGTTTATCTGCGAAACTCATCCCTGGATCACCTGAAGTTCAGGGGGAAAAGTGCCCCAGAGGCCTTGGGGGGTACAAATCACCAAGATCAGGTCCTCCCGTTCTCCGGGGGCAGAGGTGCCGCTCCCGGGTGGGCGGCGGCGGCAGCCGGGGCTCTGCAGGTGCCCCCCGGCCCTGGCAGGTGCCCCCCGGCCCTGGCCGCTGCCCCCCGGGCCGGGGCTCTGCAGGTGCCCCCCGGCCCTGGCAGGTGCCCCCCCGCACTCCTCCACCTGCCGCGGATGTGGTCACAGCGGGGACACTTGCACGGGGAACACGGCGAGGTGGTTTTCTGTTCTTTCTGAAATGGTAATAATCAGATCTGTTCCAACCACTGCGCGTGGAAACTTGCCTGTGCTAGGGGAAAAAAACGAGACCGAGGGAGAAAGCGACCTGACGTACCTGTGCCTGTGGGCCAGCATGACGGGGGACAGAGAGCAGGACGCAGGGGACGGGAGGCTCGGCAGTGCTTCATGGGCTGGAAGTGGCAGTGAGTTTCTCGGCCGTCCCACCCTCACCACCAGCTGAGCCCCAAGGCGCTCAGAGCAGACCTGCCAGCAGCCCGTGGCACGGCTCCAGTCCCAGACGCACAAGGACTGGCCCAAGGAGCTCACAAATACACTTCAACCACCTCCAGAGCAACAACTCTGCTGAAAACTCTTCTTTTTACTTCCCTGGCCCCACGTCTCCATGAAGCATTTTGAATATCTGGCGGCAGAGCAGAGCTCCTCCCGCCGAGGGAGGCTGTGGTGGGAAAAGGAGACGCTCTGGCCATGGGACGGGGTGAGAACCCTCACGGCAAGGCTGGAGAAGCCCCTGCAGCCCGGGGCTGAGCCCGGCGGAGCGGCTGGGGCCGAGCACGGTGCCGGAGCCCGCTCTCCGAGATGCAAGACCTCCCTCTGCCGTCCGCAGCCCCGAGCAGGCGCCGCCGCTCCGGGACCATCCCCGGCACCCGGGCTGGCCAGGGACCCCGCACCGCGCGGGGCACTCGGGCAGCCCCCAGAAGCTGCACGGAATTATTTTTTTAAAGCCCAGCATCTGTAAAGACAGAATAAATGTGAGAACCAGAAGAGAGCTCTAAGCCGGTAGCAGTGACACCAATTTTTCTCTAAGTATTTTCTGAGTATTTTCTGGAGCTTTGGGGAAGGACTAAGGAAGGAAAAGCAAGTTTCATAGTGGTTTCAGCAGTCCTCATTTGTACCACCCAGAGAATAATGTAACTTGCCCATGAAATTGAATGAAGCACAGACTAATGCAACTGTAACACAAAGCTGTATGTCAGAAAAACAAACAAAAACCCACCCCCAAAACAGGCAAATGCTGCACTGTAATTTTTAGTATATTTAAACAGAAGAAAAGCTTTAGGATTGCAAACACATCCCTCATTTGCTTTTGCATGACTTAGCACAGCCTTGGTTGGTTAATCCTTTGTGAGGTGGGCTCACCAGCGAGTGTCCAGCACAGCTGGGCAAAGGCCTTGAAGAAAATTTGCTGTTCTCTCTTCAGTCAGGTGACATGGAAACCTGGAATGCAGCACTTACCCTTTGGCAAGATCTCATCCCCCAGCCTAAGGAGACCATGGGGATTTAGCGCTGCAATTCCACATGAAGCAACCCCTGTGCATTAGGAAATTAATGCTGACTAAAATTTATCAGAACTATTAAGACCATTCGTTGTCCGGAGACAAATTTGATGGAACAGCTCAGCCGCAAGCCCGGCTCCTCCCATTGTGTCTCTGTGTGCTAATTGCGCTCCTCGGGCTGACTCCTTGTGCCAGACACGGGGAATTTCACAGCTCGGGCTGGCCCGATTGCATTATCCCACAGGGCGGCTGCAGGATCAGCTGCTGACGAGGCGCGAGCAGCCCCGGCAGCGCTGCGCCCTCCCCGGCAAGGGACCCTCACCTTCGGGAAGGGACACTCACCTTCGGGAAGGGACCCTCACCTTTGGCAAGGGACACTCACCTTTGGCAAGGGACACTCACCTTCGGGAAGGGACACTCACCTTCGGGAAGGGACACTCACCTTCGGGAGCCCGAACTGGCTGGTTCTGCTCCCAGGCTTCTCCACCACGTGAACGAGAGGAGTGCAGGCTGTGCACAGCACACAGCTGCCTCTCACCAGCGCCTCTAAATCAATCAGGGAGTCTCAGTCGGGAAAACGCTCCGGGTGCTCAAAGGAACATGAGGAACAAATGACAAGAGCTGACACAAAGGTAGGATTTTATAAATTAAATGACCTTTATTTGTAACTTGTCCTCAAAAGTCAAAAACATGACAAAGTAATTGCTTGGAAGCTTCTAAATGCTCCTTAAACATTTGATCAGAATTGCATGGAAGTGCACTTAGAACAGAAGCAGGAATCTGGATTCCTGGCAATGGGCATCCCAAACTGCACTGAGAGCAGACCCAGAGATCCCCATCCAGCCCCCAGCACCTCTCTGCAGGCCAGGCACTACAACAACCAGCCCAAACACAGCACCTTCCCCACAGAACCAGGAGGCTCCGCAGCACTGGGCTCCCAGGGGCTCAGGGTGAGAGGGTAAGAGCTCAGAAACACAAACCCCAGGGGCACAGAGGTGCCCGAGGTCTGGCTGAATCACGAGGTTTTAGCTGGACTGTGTTTCATTATCGTCAGGGTAAGGCAGTGCTGGGAGGAGCTGACTGCTCAAATCAATTAATTAGCACTCAGTTCCGGGTGGTGCAGGCCCACTGCTCCAATTCCAACGCTTGCATTGAAATCTCAACACTGATTTACAGGTTCTGGTCAGGTGCCTCAGATCTCAGCAGCTCCACTGTGAACTTCTTGAAAGCATCACATTAAAACTAAGGAATCTCCACGGTAAAAGTGTAGCTTGAACACAGAGTATCCACTGATGAGGGGCTGCAACTGTCCTGCCTTCAGGGCTGCATTTCACTTTTCCTTGAAAGCTGCACCTGGCTCTACACACACAGATGGCAAACAATCCAAGCACAGCCTCAGCCACTTCAGGAACATTTCAATGAAGAACAGGAATTCAAAATACCTGATAAAATCTGTGATGCAGAAAGGAAGTACTATGCCAGCACTATGAATTACTCGTAAGTTTCCCACCAGCTTGCCTTGAGAGATGGAAAACCCAAGAACATGTATGAAAATTTCAGTTTAAATAGAAAGCCGAGGTATTGAAAAAACCTTCTGAATTCCCCTATCAGCATAAGGCTTAAAATCACTAGCAAACCAGTTTCAAACCCACCAATTTAATCATAAAGCCAGCAATTTTGATTAATATTTGCTAATATAGTTAAAAAATTACGCATTTTAACTAAGACCAACACTAAAGATAATTTTCCAGGCTAGAAATTATAGTAAGAGTATGGAGGAAAGTAATCATCATGCATAGAACTGAAGTATTTTGAACTAGTTTTTACACAGTGCAAAGATTTCCTAGGAAAGTTTGCAGTTTGAACACTGATACTGAAGATGTTTTCCATACAGTTGGGAGGCTGCCTGTAAGGATTGAAACACTGGGAAACATGATGGAATCACAGGTATCAGAGGTCACTTAAATGAGAGCTGGTCTGACAGTTACAGTTAGCACCT